GTTTAGGGCGCAGAGTCAGCGGCAGAGACATTGCACATCCGTGTAGCGGCAACGATTCTATCCGTAGATTAACCAACGCCAAGTTCCCCACAAAGCGGTACCCATCTTATGGAACCCAGGGGCATGATGGGCTGAGTTGATCCTCAACCAGGGTTTTACCTTGCAGCCTTTAAATTGCAAGCCACTTGCTCTACCGCTGAGCCACCAGGCCCGTGTGTCCATCCACTTTTCTATGAAAGCCATGCTGTGCTGGTTACGGCAAGTTGTTGATAATTATATTAGGACGGCTGGCTACGTACGGTGCGAAGGAAGTTCAACGTACGTATCCACATACAGTCGGTGCGGTTTGGTGAAGGGGACGGCCAGGAAAGGTTCGGATATGACACGCCACCGATGTTAGCCTTGACCGGGAATCGAAATCAGGTCGCTTAGGTTCACGGCGCAGGGCGATAACCATTGTGCCGCCGCGATGAAAATTCTGGCATTGCACGGCGGCAAGCTGTGCTTACAGTGGAAACATTATACGACGCATTGCAATGGGTGCTCAGGTGCAGCGCCGTTCGTAAACTCTCTTTGGGCCCAAAGGTGTGATCTGCCACCCTCTTTTTTCTCGTTAATTCCATTCACCAGATGGCACCAACACAGGTAATTGAAAAGTGTCCTTATACCTTTGTATTGGCAATTATGTCATCGTTGTTCATCTAAACTTAGTCCACGAGTGACCATTCTCAGATATCATTAATTGCAGGATGATCACGGACAAATACAATAAATATAGATGATCATAAATGAGTGGCTGATGACATTCCTAATTGTGTTTAAGAATGGCTATGAAGCCCTTCTACGGTCAGGTATATGTTTATCACGAGAAAAATATGAAACCCACAAGTAAAATATACCGGGCCCCCGTAAAAAGAGGTTGATTGGTATTACTCTTAGGGTTGGCTCAGCTTAATGTTCTAAATTGTATTTAATCCTGTGATAAACACTTTCGACTATAAATACAAACAAATTACCTCCCATGGAATGCAACGCTGAAGCCAATTGAAAGTAGGCAAACACACTACCAGTTACTATTGCATAGAGTATACATTTTTTGGTCATGTTAGCATATTTTCATGCCATATGCTTCAACACATTTATTATTCAGACGTAAAAGTTGGTGCCATTTGGTAACTTTGCAGAATTATCGGAATACGGAGCCGTTGCTGCGCTGAAGTGGAGAGAGTGTGGAAACATTAACGGATCAAACATTCCATAAGTTTGAGATGCATGTGTGACTGTACTCCACCAATAACATATATACAGTGTTCTTCACTGATTTTCAGAGGGGGGCCACTTTCGCCGATAAGACATCATCAGTGTGAGGGCCGCTACACCGTCTGTAAAGGGGGTTCTCACATTTGTGATTTGTTGGGGGGCCGCACTAAAGGCCATCAGGGGCTGCCAGTGGCCCGCGGGCCTTGCCATGAAGAACGCCGCTCTGTTCTGTGATGTACCTGGCAGCATATCTTCTGAAAGTCCTTGAAAGCTTTTTAAGGAAACTTGCATCGCTGACCTCCAGTAAAAAGGTAAAACTGTAGTCCTACTTTTACTTGATTATGCCACTGCTGGAAAAATGGCCTACACTCGAGAAAGCGCTCGAGAGTATTTGGTCTCCTCTTCTACATTGACCAGGCATCTTATGAAACAAGTCTCACTCTGTGGATGAGATGCAGAAAGTCAAAACCGAAACAGAATTTCCTTGCTTAAACCCTTTTCTGCTTAATATTATTGGCTTGGAAAGCCAATGACAGATAAACTATATTTTTTATTTATTTAGGTTAAACATTTGCATTTATATGTGGAGAGACCGAATAGAGTCCTGCTTCTATTGTGTAAGGGTAGAGGCATTGGCACAAATAAACAGAGGCTGGAAAACTCTTGAGTGGCGACTTTAGTTGCAAGTACCTGCGGACGTACCTGAACATCCAGGATTGGATCATTGTACATGGCTCTGTGTGTCTGCATGTAAGTTTCTTTGTAAGAATATTGATCTGTAGGCGAGTCTGTGTGCTACAATGTTTGTCTCTGGGGGGGAGGGGGGGGTCTCAATATGGGTTGGTGACCCTGGCCCTGCGGTAGCCCGTTCGCCACTTGTTGCAGAGGTTTGCAGTTCAAACTTGACAGGCTGCGCCGGTGGTTAGTACTGTCGATGTATTAACCATCGCTAAATGTTCTGAACGCTTCACAGTGGACGTTATTGATCACCTGAGATCGTCAAAAATGTATACAATATATAATTGCGTGCCGGCATCATGATCCTAATTGACCAAATTCAAAACAATACCTACAAAATACTCAGCTACAAATCGCGACATCATCCATCCACTGCGAGACTGCTGCAGATGGCGTCCGTGAAACGCAACGCCTTTGCGATAAAAGAACGAAACGGATACCAAATGTATGATTTATAATTATTTGAGTGTAGTGGTGACTTCACTTGTGGTGTGTGTATGTATGCTGAACTTCTGTTGAACTTCTTTCGCACCATACTTAGCCAACTGTGCTAGTCGGAGATGTGGTGTGTGCATGTCACTACATATCTAAGATTGGTCTAAAACTATCAACCAAACTATTTTTTTTCATTTTACCAGATAAGGCCCACTGAGCTATATAGCTCTTTTGCAGAAATGACCTGGCCACAAATGATATCTCAACGAAGTGGATTATTACGTGGAAATGTATAGCAGTCAAATACTCGAAACGCGTGTTTCTAAATTTGGAGGGAAAAACCGGAGGACCCAGAGAAAAATCCACGCGACCACGGGGGGAGAGACACGCAAACTCCAAATATACAGCAGGCGTCAGGGTCGGAATCGGACCCACGACCTCCTAAATACCAGGCGAGGTAGTTAACATCTTGCCACCGTGGCGAGGACTGTTCTTGCTCGTGTACCCCATCGCCACCAGATCCTTAAACTCTTTTGCTTCTCTGTTTAACTCTGTTGTTGGCCTTGACAAAGAGCTGCTTGGCTCAATGGATCTTATCCGACATAAACGGACGGACTGATTTGTACATCACAGTGATGCGAGATTCCACTTTCATAAGAGGTTATCAAAAAGTTTCAGAGTACGGTATGTAAACATAAAAACCGCACATGTTACATTATAATTTTAGGAAGTAAATAGTAACACGTGTCCAGGTATTATTCCGTTCCTCGATTTGAACACAGAGATGGGGGATTCAGGGTAGCCCAAACGTTAAAGTTGGTTCAACTTGTATTTTTAATCTCATTCACTGTAACGTTTTGTACATCTTTGATATACAAGCCAAAGTTTTTTTTTTCAATCTTATTCCCACTGGACTAACGCACTGACTTTGATAAGCAATGGCTAATTATAAAGGTCTTGGTCTCAATTAGAATTTTCACCTAATAACTCATGAATCTTTTGACCTATCTTTGCCCCCCTCCCCCCCCCGTTGCCTGCCCCCCATCCCACAATTGTGAATGTAAAAAATAAACAACATGCGTAGATCTGATCGCTGTTGCACCATTGGACGAGACACCACTTTGGGTGAGTGTCCCAATGACACTCCACTCCGTCGGTGTTTCACTGCAGTTGCTCTTCAATAGAGGCTCTGAATTGTGACTGTTTTGCCCGTGTGTTAAGTTATTTAAAACAATTATATTATTTCAGATAATTTGTTTATGTAAATATATATGCTAAATAAATGGCTTCCCTACGTGTCGATGCGGTGCAAATGTTGTGCACCTTGTTACACAGCGCCGACATTCGCCGTGCCGCTCAAGTCGTGTGTGTGAAGCGAGATTCATTGACTTGCTGCTAATGTACCCGTTATTGCCGTTATGCACTTGATATGTAAAATAATATACAGTATATATATATACACTTGCAATGTTTTAAAACATGTAATCATAACACACACGCACACTTTTTTGTGTTTAACGCTGATACTAAAAAGCCCACAATGGGGACCTCTAGATATACATTCGCCGCATTTACAATACGGGTTGTGCATCGAGACCAAGTTGTGTTGATGTAACTGCGTACTGTATCTCCAATCAGCTACCGTGTACACTAATTAGGAGAGCGGCTACTGCCCGACACAGACTTGTTTGATGTATACAAAGCAAGCCAATGTGAGCTGCCTATTGTGATCATTACTTTTCCGTTCGACACTTTTACACAGCTAGCAAATTAGGATTTGCTTAAATAACTTGATTGTAGGCCTTTGGTTTATTGAAACAAAGTTGCTCTGTGAGAGCACTAAGAGACGTTGCCTGTCCTCAACGTACATAGGGCAGCCCGGCCAAGTAATTTGAAATGTAATTAATGGAATTGTTTCATGTATGGTGCCGCTATGATAATCGAGTGAGACAATTTGAGATGTATTGGTCAGCACTATCTATTACCCATTACCATCAACATTACTCCCGTTATCATGGCCGTCGTGACTTCATCATCATCATCATCTTTAGTACAACCATCATTAACCATTAATCTACCAACGTTACTATCTCCACTCTCGTCATCTCTGTTATCATAACCACACTCATCAGCATTGCTATCGTCCCAATTACCTGTGTCATTAACGATACAATCACCGCCGTTATTACAATCGCCAAATTAAAACGCATTATCTTTGGGCACCATCGTCGTTATCGCCATGGCCATCGTTAACCAGAGACGCTACCACGTTTTTCACGAGTGAAATCGCGTGTGTTGCTATACACTCTGTACATACCACCGTTTAGATTCAGACTGTTTTGTGTTGCTGTTACATTGTAATGTATTCACGATATTGTACTGTGTATATGCACCCCACCGGCAGTACATTCAGATATGCCCGTGCACTCAAACGACTGAGCGGGTGCCGCGTGCGTAACAGCGTTCCTAGGCGGGACGCGGTCGCGCGCGAGACGAATCGTGCGGCATCATCTCGTGAAAGGTGTCGGTGATGAACTCCCGCAGCTGCGGCAGTCGACGTGCCCCTAACACGACCGCACAATGAACCATTCGCCTGCGTTTCTTACCTGCAATGTGTCGAACGGGCGGCGACGACATTGCGAAGAAGCGTTACGATGCCAGCTATTGCCATCACGGCGAATGTTAAGTGGACTCGTTTATAACAAGGCGGTGGAACTCTCGCCCAGTAAGTCACTCTACACGCCACCGCATACGGAGAGTTAGCAGGCTGCGGGATATCGCGTGAATGTCGGTGCTAATAACGTTGTTCGAAAGCGTGGCATATTGTCCGACTCCCCTTCTAAATCCGTATTCCGGTGCTGTCGGCTTGGGGAGGCCTTCACCCGGCAGTGGATCGACCCTGGGCCGAGAGATCGTGATGATGAAAACGATTGACGCTTGGAGATGATTGACGCCAAAGCGTCATCGCGATACGGGGCTCGGGTGGTGGGTGACGACTGCGGTCACCACCTGTGTGCCGCCTCGAACTTCCACCGCGGAGATGGGAAGAGAGGTCCGGTGCGCGGGCGGGGGCGAGCGATGCAGGTGGCAACACAAACATCTCTGCCAACGGATTCTTGTGGGCAGAGGCGACAATTCCACCGCGCACCATTGCGACCTCACGGCGTGCGAGCGCGCGCGCGCGCGCGCGCAAAGCCTGGCGGGTCACGCTTTGCGCTGACAAGAGCCGTCGACTTTCTCAGAGCGCCGGCGCACGTGGTTCAGTTCAGTTCATCTGTTAGGTATAGCCCTGTGCGCCATTCGGCTCTCGACTCGGGTGCAACAGCAACAAACAAAAAACATGAACAAGGAACATCTTAAAGTGACTACGGACAAAAGTGAGTGGTGTCCCCCCCCCCCCCCCACGTCTCTCTCTCTCTCTACCAGGTTAGACAAAAGCGTCGTGACCGTTCGTCGCTACGCCGTACTGTTTGATTGACGCATCGCATAGTGTGTGAAGAGGAAGCAAAAGTTAGTTTTTTTTTGTTACGTATATGCATCATTTCGTATGGGTTTGTTGTTGTAGCTCATCTTGGCGAATATATTTGCGGAAGGATTTACGATCGTAAGTGCAAAAGGAATAGTAAGGAATAACAATTATTTAAGGCGTTATCGCAGTAATCTGTGATAGTCTGTCGTCAATCCACTGCTTGATGAAGGTCCCCCCCTCGCCGTGTCGGTCATGTGGGTGTTGTTTAGCCATACATCACCTCGCTGGTCACTGTGGCTTGGTGAAGGGGGCTGCCAGAATACAGGATGAGTTATCGCTCGGCACGGATGTTAATTATCCGTGGACGGGAATCGAACCCAGTTTGCTGGGTTCATAGCGCAACGCCGCCCTAATTAGTTGCACGCGTGTAAGCAAATACACGCGCGCGTAATGCATTATTCAGGGCGATAACGAGTAATTACCGTGTGCGTGACGTTTTCATCTGGTTTAGATACTGGCAGGTGAGGAATGCACATTTTTAAAGAAAGGTTCGGTGCGTGAAACGTCTCAAGACTGGTCGTGACACGGGCTCGGTACGCGGCGCGCGTGTTACAAACAAGCGCGCGGGCCAGTCGCGGAGAACACATGCTGAATGGCACCCGGAACCCACACGCAGCCTCGAAACTTCACGAAAATCCGCGGAGGATGTTGACAACTCCCTCGATTTTCATTGAGGGTCCGCGGTTGGCCCTATTTCATCGTCAGGTTCGATCGTTAATGCCTTCTTTGTGCTTTTGATAATTACGTGAAATGTGTTTTTTTGTAGATCTTTGCTTGCAACTCCCAAGACCAAGTTGAGCTTTATATTACACCAAGGCGCGCGCGTGCGTGCTGTTAAAAGTCGGATCTATCACAAGCGGTACGGAGGAGTGCGGAAGAGCAATTCACTAAGGAGCAAGATATTCACTTAGTACACATTACGAACCCGAGGTCCCCGCGTGTGTGTGTGTATATATATAGATGCACAGCCGACAGTCTACTGCTTTGAAAATAAAACTATGACTCCAAACGCGCGGCACCGCGCAAAAAAAATAAAAGCAAAGAACGCCGCATGCCCCCTAGGTACGTGTGTTTCCATCACGGGGCGGTGGAGCAGCATTGCGTGATCAGATGTCACGTTTCCAGTCCGCCCTTCAGCAATAGCGCAGCAATAGAGCACATGCGTTTACATGTAGCTTTTGACCTCAGGTCAAGTGTCAACTGCGTCTTGTGTGTTTCTCCCGCAGTGGCGGCGCTTTGATTATATTAAGCGGTTAGGGGGGGGGGGAGTGCGCCCATACCGCGTGCATTGAGAGGAGCAAAGGCTGCTTGCTGGAAAGCCGAGCGCTGCTGGAGCTATACGAGGAAGGGGGTTTGAGATGTTTTGGATTTACGAAAGTCAGGTGCGTTGGTTGATTGGTTGTTGCTTGCGTGTGCAATGTATTTTTTCGCACTTATACGAGTGTTGTTGTTGCTGCCCTATCGTGGTAAAGTTTGAGCGGTATGTACTTAATTAGTGCAGGTTCACGATGACATTTTCCTCTCTCACATTATGCGAGTGTTCGCGGATTTATATTAAACACACATAGGCACGAAAAGACGCAATTGATACGGTGGTTATTTATTTACACAAATAAAACCTTAAGTTACGCATAGCGAGCAAATTACATTTGCATAGCAGTTGTGACAATTATTTTTCCAAAAATATATATGTATATAACATTTCGCGTTCCAAATTGTTTGCAAATAACTTTACTTACCGGAATCCAACAATGAAGGCGGCTCATCATTACGGGATGCGCATTGTCCGCGTCGCGGGTATAATTGTGCATTAATTACGCTCGAAGGTTGCCTTTTTTACGGTGAAAACAACAGCAGAAAAACGAGCTAATTTCCAAACGCCTAATGATCTGAAATGCTAAAATTGCTCTCCGCATGAGTGTAATCTTACAAGCATTTAAAACAAAAAAAACGGACGTGCGTTCCTGTGTGCGTCCTGTTAACGTGCAACGGCATCTACCGAACGCGGCGCTTGCCACGGGGATGTCCCCTGTGCGGATGTCGCGTTGCCGGACAATTGTGGGCCTGGGTGGAGGAGAGAAAAAAACATCTTCAAACGCAACTCGTCACCGAATGATATTTCGCGGACAGCCAGGCATCTCTCGAGTTAATCTTTCCTAAGACTCGTGCCTTTTTGCAGCAGCAGCCTACTTCAAGCGAAATGATCAAAGATCGAGGTTGCGTTCGTGCGCAATACTTTGACGCATTTTTTGTCGTTGTTTGTTGTTTACAAGGGGAACGGTAAAAAGTGGTAGGGGGGAAAAAAATAAGCGCCCGATAAAACTTGTTTCTGAACGTCGGGGATTACCATTAAAATGCGTGTTCTCCCAGGCTGCTCACTCGCGGAATTGTCGATGACCCGGGCTATTGATTGAACCCGAATGAATAATGTGTGTGTGGGGGGTAAGCGTGTTAGTGGTGGTATTCGTGAAATGCAAGACGCAGCGTTAACAATGTATATACCGTTATGGGCGTTTAGACACCACCAAAAAAGGATTACAGTACAATGTTTTAAAAGTACGGTGTTAATCGTTAATCCTTACGAAACTTCTAATAATTCTTATTGAGTACCGGGAAAGTCGCGACGCCACGAAGCAGCTGCACACATTTTTTTTGTTTGTTAAGCACCGATGCTCAGGGTAAGTCGACGTTCCTGCACCATGCAGTGATTGTAACGGTACCTGCAAGGCACTTCATCCGTGCGGTCCGACTGCAGGAGCGACTGAAATCCCAACAACGTCGCTAAGTACACAATTGCACACTTCCCAACGTTGCCGCAAACGTTTACGCAAACAATGATGAAAAGCGTGAATGAATGAAGGAAACTAAATCAAAGCAATATTTGGGGCGCTACCGTGCCACTCTCCCGCCCCTCCCTCCTTACACCCTCCCCGCCCCCTACAATGAAAATAGACTGCGTAAGACATCATTTGCATATCATATTCACATACCTTTAAACTATTTTGCCCGCTGTTTTAAAACAAACTTCTACGTGTATGATATTGTATTAACGTTTTAGTGTAATGCATGTAAAACAAACAAACAACAACAACAACCACGCACCCATATGCTGCAGATATTCCTTACGCGCTATTCCAAAGCAAGCAGGATGTTTAGACTCGCGCCGATGTCGCTCTTAAAACTCGCGTAGAGAGAGAGAGAGAAAATAACAATGACGCATTCAAGTTGTTATCTCTGTTAACACGTGGACCCCGTTTCGACTTCAAGCGCCGCATTAAAACTGTCCCTGGAAAACAAAGAACTCAGGAAAGAGCAACACGTTCTGGAGACCCGTGGGCCATTCAGTTCGCGAGCTTAACCCTGCTTTAAAAGTCATTTGCTGGAAAAGAAGAAGAAAAAAACGCACACACGGGGGTGGGGGGGGGGGCAAGTGAAATTAATTCGATGCCTTCATTTTTAAAAAAAAGCAAGCGAAGATAGGAGGGTGTGTGACACAGGTGTGGTGATTAGGGCTGGGGTAGGAAACACATCTCCGCCCGGTCCACTCGGAGACACACTTCGTAGCGGAGGCGCGCGGCTGACCTCCGCTCGGCACGGTGAGTGCCGAGACCCCCCCTCCCTCCCTCCCTTGCTCCCTGGGCTCAAATGGGCGCGTCGGTTCCTGTGTGAGATGGATGGATGGACACATGTTTCAACCCCCCACCACACCACCACCACCACACCACCACCACCTCTCTCGCCACCTCCCTCCACCTCCACCACCCCTCCACCGCCGCCGCCGCCCCCACCACAACCCCGACTCGCCCCCGCCTCTCATCCCCTCTACCGTCCCCCAGCCATCGCCGGTGCCGACGTCTTAGTCGGCCGTCGTCGTCGTCTTCTTCTTCATCTTCTTGTTTCTTGCGAGCCCAACAACTGTCGGGCGTGAAGCGCAGCCGCCGGACCCAGCAGCAGCGGCGGCGGCAGCGGCGTCGGCAGCGTCGAGCGCACGGCACGCGCGGAGTTCGCAGCTCCCCGTCGTCGGCGCTGCGCTAACAGACAGCGCGCGCAACGCCGCTCCTCGCACGGAACGCTTTAAATAATAATAATTAATAGTAGCTGTAGTAGCGGCAGTAGCGGCGGCAGTAGTAGTCGTAATAGTAATAGGAGTAGCTGGGGGGAAGAGGAGGAGGGGGGGGAAACCCGGGGCGATCAACGGCAGCACTTTGCGTCTGAAGAATCCAAAGTTATTTCCTCTCTCCGCCGCGTTCTGTTGCTTTGATTGAGGTGGTGGTGGTGGGTAGCGCTGTTGTTGGAGGAGGAGGAGGAGGTGGTGGGGGTGGTAGCATTCTTTTTTGTTGTTGTTGTTGGTCACCCTTCTCTCGACACCCTCCGCTCTCGACGCCTGGGCTCACGGCGTGGCTCTCGCCAGGCATGTTGAGCTGTAAGGTCACAGCGACTGCTGCCGCGAGCGCGCAAGTGGAGGCCGCCTGCACGTCCGTCGCGACTCCCGTCGCCTCTTCACCCTAAGGTATAACACGAGACCTTCCTGACTCTCCTCCTTCTCCTTCTTGTCCCTGTTCGTCTTCTTAATTCGGGCGATACGCTTCGATGTACTGCTCGTGCAACCAGCCGGCCCGGTCGCTCAGCCGGTCGGTCGGCCAGTCGGCGTGCCGGTCAGCCGGTCGGTCGGTCAGTCGGCTTGCTGGCCGGTCAGTCGGTCGGTCGGTCAGCCAGCCGGTCAGTCGATCAGCCAGTCAGCCGGTCAGTCGATCAGCCAGTCAGCCGGTCAGACAACGAAAGAGGCGTTGATCGGTTACTCAACCAACCAGACAGTCGCTGTCGGCCGGTCAGCCGGTCGATTGATCCCAGCCAGCCAAGCTCGCCGACTGGCCAGTCCGCTTGCTTGCGAGTGCACGAGCAGCGCCGTTGGTGCAGTATTGTTGTTGTTATTGTTGTTGTTATTGTTGTTGTTATATACCCCGCGCTGCAACGACTTGCAAAGTGGGGTGCAGCGTGCGGTGGCGAAGCGTGCTCCGAACTTGGCTGTTCTGCAGGCGCGTGTGTGTGTGTACGTATGTGTGTGTACGTGTGCGTGTACGTGTGTGTGTGTACGTGTGTGTACGTGTGTGTGTACGTGTGCGTGTACGTGTGTGTACGTGTGTGTGTACGTGTGTGTACGTGTGTGTGTACTGTGTACGTATGTGTACGTGCTGTGTATGTCCTGACGTAGGTTTCGAATAGCCATACTTCAGTGAGTAGGGATGATATAGCCTATGTTGGTGTTGGTGCTTGGGATATCCTGAGCACTTACAAAACATCAACCGCTACGATATCTTCCACATTCGAGTAGTCAAAATATATCTTGGCGATCACGCGAGTTTCCGTAGAGTACACAGACTCATAGAGTACACAGACTCATAGAGCCTCGCTGCATCGCACATTCTCTTCTTACTCTCAGCCGATTCGGAACAAGGCAATGCCGAATGATAGTGATGAGACGCTCCATCCGCATAGCGGCATATCCGTGCGTACCTTCATGTTGCCGTCTCGCTGCTGTTAGTATTTAGTAATTAGCTATCATTATACTCGCGCTTACGTGTCCCATACGCACGTCCGCCGGGGAGACGGAACGATGAGATCAGCTTGCGTCCACGTGCTTGGTGAATTGTCGGTAACAGCTTGGGGAGGACTTCCTCCAGCAGTGGATTCATCATGCCTACTGCTGCTGCTGCTGACGATGAACCAAAAACGTGAGAGATAGAACACCCGAATACCAGCTCCATAGGTTAACATACAAGTTTTATCGCCGTTCAGTACTCATTGATGTTTTAAGAACAGCCCACACTGCATTAGTGGGTAGGAAGGGCAATCAATGGTCTACACACGAGATGATGCTACGCCAGGGCTCGCTGGCAATCGCAGCGAGCCAGTTGCGTGCGTACCGTGCCCCCTTGCATGGTCAGAGATCGTCATCATCGTCACCACCACCATCATCATCAACAAGGGCTATTGTCAATACACTGTCGGATGAAGGCCTTCCCAAGCGCTCGTCATTTCTCACGAACCCACGACGTAGACAATCCACCTAATAACACTCAAACCGAGCAGATTTCATCGCCATACAGCAATTCGGTGGGCGTCTTATCTCGGACAAGCTCCATTCCTGGACTGCCATTCCGCAGTGAAACTCGGCCATCGTCCCTCTTCCAGGTGACGTTCGTCAGGCCAAGGCCACTTCACCTTTCTCAACAGTTGAGGATAATGTGCGGGGACTTGGCACGTGAACATAGCATCAGTCGCATTCGCTCGGCGGTAATAAATTAGCGGAGAGGATTGCGTATTTCTTAAAAAGCACAGAGCGCTGCTTCCAATTGCGAGAATTGCGCACCACCTTGCCAGCGTGCGCTGGCAACGATCGTAATCGCGTACAGATGTCCGTAATGTCCGAGGTAAGCGCAAGGCGAGTTTATTTCCCCCCCGGTCTCGTTACAATTGTACGGTGCCCTTTAACCAAGGCCAGTTGTAGTGACTTAAGGGACGAGTGGAAATCCGCCTCCACCGTGAAGTTTAAACACAAGCGTTCCCGCACTTCCAAAACACCTGAAAACCGCGCACAATGCATGCGCCACGCCGATATGGGCCCTTTTGGTAGACACCGCTCCACCACAAGCGGCCCCCATTGACCAGCTGATAATTATTAATCTTTAATTGTGAAACGGCATTGTCATGCTAATTAGCCTAACAACTGGGGGGGGGGGGGGTCCATTGAACCAAAAAACCCATTCATTAAAATCGCGATACTCCTACAACTACGTGCCCCAAGAAGCGTGCCCCGAAAGAACGATGAATAAATTGAATTATTACGAGCGTTTGTTGCGCTTTAATCTACGCACAGAGCAAGGGCTATTTAACCTGAACATTAAGACTTTCTTTTAGCGAACGTTATGCTGTGTTGTCTGTGTGCAATATATTTAATTGTTACGCGGTATAATTTGGCGTTCTCTTAAAAGTTGTTATTGATATGCCGCGTTTAATTGATTATTAGGCTATAATTAAATCCGTATTTTGTCGAAACAAGTGTGGTAGTTGCTGCTGCCGTGCATGATCGTATACAGCGGCGACGCATAAATTACATTAATGGGATTTTATCGCACGTTCATAATTACGCCGGGCATGTTTACCAACTTTTAATTCATTGCAAATATAATTTGGCACATTGTGATATAGAGAATTGCCTACGCTAATTTAGGGGCTTACACAATTCAGCCTGTACAAATTCGTCTTAAGATCCGCTATAATTCCCTTCCACCGTTATCCATCCCAGGGACAACCGCGCATTCGCAAATGTCCAATTAATGTCGATTTGATCGCGTATTGAATGACTCGAGGAATATCCACACGTGTACATATCCGACGTGCGTTGTAGTAATACGTCTACACGTTTCAAGAGGCGCATCCTTCCGCTAATTATCACTGGCACACATTGTTGACCATACAGTTAGTTAGCAAAGCCTGGCACAGGAAGGTGTGCCTTATAAAGTCATGAAATACGTTATATTGATGGACCTGGTAAACGCCAGGATAACCCAGAGGCTTCACCGGACTCTGAGCGTCTTTAAAGTGTTGCATTTAAAAAAATTACGCAATGAACGGAAAATCCGCAAGTGTTACTGGAGTTGAGACGTCATATAGCGATTTATATTATTAGGGATGTTTAAGGTCGGTAGTTAGCGTGTGTGTACTTAAGGGTACGAGTACATTGGACTTAATACACACCTTTTAGACAAGCAATAACGAACTGCTGTAAGGAACCGTTTCTGTTGTTATTATTATTATCATTACAATTTTAATAAGATAGTAATTTACATTGAACAAGTCAGATTCGGTCACGTGTATTGTCGGTGAGTCATTTTGAATGAGCTCACATACCAGCTAATTGGCGTATTAAAAGTTACACACCGCATATATAAAATAGTCCTTGACGTATCGGTAAAGTTACATTTATAGGCAATTTAGCTATGTACAATTTAAATGCCGAGAAAGCTTCACCAATGTATAATGCAGTATTTATAAAATCTGTTGCAACTTCAACTAACTCGTCTTAAGGATGATCGGACATGTAGGCCTTAACTAGATTTTTTGAAAAACACAACAGTGGGGTGGGAAAAAAACCAACAACAGTTGTTTAGCAATTACATTCGCGTTCGGAACTTTAGGCATGGGTAGCAATTGTTCATAAGAGTCAGTTAACAGGTGAGTTTCGCAGCAGGCGAGCGAGTGATTTGACATCAACACCTGAACTCCATGTGCACGTGCGTGCGTGCTCATTGAAGTTCGTTCTTGTTTGTCCGTGCGTGTTGTGTGTTGTGTGCTTTGATCTCAAAACCGCATTTTCCTAAAACCTTAGACCCTACATCAAAAATTGATTTTGTATACCGTAAGGCAATGTTCATTACCAACGGAGTGCGTTGGGTTTTTAAAACATAAATACTCCGGGCTTGCAGACAACTGGCATCCAAATAATTACATTAAACTGTTGTTGTTATTGTTTAATTGTGTACACTTGTGTGCTGTGATTACGCGTGTTGGCTCGTTATTTTCATTATTGCTCACGTTACACAGTGCCCTGCGCACGATGCTTCGACTTTACATGCCCTGGCGTGTTAGCGTGTCTGCACCTCTTGGTTGTGCGCGTTCATGTGTGTTCATGCGTGTATTCCCAGGGATGTCATGTACTAATGAACACATTACGGCTCGTGCACTGTATTCCACGCACATGTACACGTGCGTTCAATAAACGTAGCGACGCCTCGCATCCCGCTGATGACAATTGCACGCATATACGGACAGGCTCAGGTCACACACACACACAACACACACGCTGAAGAACGACCGATCAGAGCCACACATACTTTCTAAAACGAGCACCGCCATATTTCTCAAAAAATACAAAGCTGTGTACACGCATGCCACTTCGATACATGCATTTATATGACGTACAAATCGATACATACCACGCACACGTGTCTACCTAGACACACCGGAGGAACGTGCATATATGTCATCACTGAATACATAGCAAACCCCCCACCCCACCACCACTCACACACATGCAAGAATAGCTACGTGTGTATACGCAGGGATGACAGGCAAAGACCACCCGTATAGGCAACCAAACCCATGAATCTCAAGTGTTGTTAGCGAGCACCTATTAAGGCAGCTACGGCACACACCGCACCAGTCAGGGAGCATTCGACCGAAGGGAGAAAGAGGAATCCCTGAGCCGTTCGGATACCACCGCCACTGCCGTGGTCCAGAATCGAACCCTGAGAGGTCTGGTTCTCAGCGCACAACACACACTATTGACACACAACACACACTACACACACAACACACTATAGACACATAACACACACTATAGACACACAACACACACTATAGACACACAACACACTATAAACACACACTATAGACACACAACACACTATAGACACATAACACACTACACTATAGACACACACTATAGACAAACACACACTATAGAGACACAACACACTATAGACACACACAACACACTATAGACACAACACACACTACACACACACAACACACACTATAGACACACACAACACACACTATAGACACACAACACACTATAGACACACACAACACTATAGACACAACACACACTACACACACACAACACACACTATAGACACACACAACACACACTATAGACACACAACACACACTACACATACACAACACACTATAGACACACAACACACACTATAGACACACAACACACTCTATAGACACACAACACACACTACACACAACACACACTATAGACACACAACACACACTACACACACACAACACACTATAGACACACAACACACACTACACACACACAACACGCACTATAGATACACACAACACACACTACATACACACAACACACACTACATACACACAACACACACTATAGACACAACACACTATAGACACAACACACTCTATAGACACACAACACACACTACACACACACAACACACTATAGACACATAACACACACTACACACACACTATAGAGACACAACACACACTATAGACTCACAACACACCCTATAGACACACAACACACACTATAGACGCACAACACACACTACACACACAACACACACTATAGACACACAACACACACTACACACACAACACACACTATAGACAAACAACACACTACACACACACACAACACGCACTATAGACACACACAACACGCACTATAGACACACACAACACACACTATAGACACATAACACACACTACACACACAACACACACTATAGACACACAACACACACTATAGACACACAACACACACTACACACACAACACACACTATAGACACACAACACACACTACACACACACAACACACACTACACACACACAACACACACTATAGACACACAACGTACACTACACACACACAACATACACTATAGACACACAACACACACTATAGACACACAACACACACTATAGACACAACACACACTATAGACACACAACACACACTACAGACACACAACACACACTATAGACACACAGCTCACACTACACAACACACACTATAGACACACAACACACACTATAGACACAACACACACTATAGACACACAGCACACACACAACACACACTATAGACACACAACACACACTATAGACACACAACACACACTATAGACGCAACACACACAACACACACTATAGACACACACTATAGACACACAACGTACACTATAGACACACAGCGTACACTATAGACACACAACACACTATAGACACACAACACACACTACAGACACACACTATAGACACACAACGTACACTACACACACACAACACACTATAGACACACAACACACACACTATAGACACACAACACACACTATAGACACACAACATACACTACACACACACAACGTACACTATAGACACACAACACACTATAGACATACAACACACACTATAGACACACAACACACACTATAGACACACAACACACACTATAGACACACAACACACACTATAGACACAACACACACTATAGACACACCGCACACTATAGACACACACCGTACACTATAGACACGCAACACACACTATAGACACACAACACACACTATAGACACACAATGCACACTATAGACACACAACACACACTATAGACACAACGTACACTATAGACACACAACACACACTATAGACACAACGTACACTATAGACACACAACACACACTATAGACACACAACACACACTATAGACACACAACACACTATAGACACAACACACACTACAGACACACAACACACACTACAGACACACAACACACTATAGACACAACAAACACTACAGACACACAACGCACACTATAGACACAACGCACTATAGACACAACACACACTACAGACACACAGCACACACTATAGACACAACACACACACTATAGACACACAACACACACTATAAACACACAACACACACTATAGACACACAACACACACTACAGACACACAACACACACTATAGACACAACACACACTATAGACACACAACGTACACTATAGACACAACACACACTACAGACACAACGCACACTATAGACACAACGCACACTACAGACACAGACTATAGATACAACACACACTATAGACACAACACACTATAGACACAACACACACTATAGACACAACACACTATAGACACACAACGCACACTATAGACACACAACACACACTATAGACACAACACACACTATAGACACACAACACACTATAGACACAACACACACTTTAGACATAACACACACTATAGACACAACACACACTATAGACAACACACTATAGACACACAACACACACTATAGACAACACACACTATAGACACACAACACACACTATAGACACACAACACACACTATAGACACACAACACACACTATAGACACACAACACACACTATATACATAACACACACTATAGACACAACACACTATAGACACACAACACACACTATAGACACAACACACACTATAGACACACAACACACACTATAGACAACGCAAATTCATTGCCTTGTATTATAACGCATACACAGCCAACGCACACAACATACACTACAGAATATACAACAAACATCACACACACATTGTGGCTATAACGTGAATAAAAAACGCAACACACTGGAAACACTACATACATACCCCAGACACAAAATAGCCCAGTATTAATTGTAACTATCACATGACCAAAACAACACAATACGATACACATCAACACACACACACCAACGTGCACTAACAAACACAAGACGTACTGTATTATCACGCGTACATAAAACACACACTCAACGCACATCACATAGACACCATACTATAGACACAACACGGTACGCATTAGCACATGTACACAACAAACCACAGCACGCACACACACACGCACACGACAGACACAAATACTCTTCTCTGGCGCGCGTGCGTGCGTCCGTCACTGCCACCATCACCATCACATTGCCCCATCACCACCACCTCCACTCTCTCTCTCTCTCCCCACCCTCCTCCTCCCCCCACCGCTCCTCCTCCTCCTCCCTCCCTCCACACACGAACCATGACGATGATCTCGCAGCTCGGCTACTCGCTCCTGGGCCGCGTCTGCCCCCGGGTTGCGAGCGTCGCGGCGTTGGGGAACCGAGAGGCGCTCGGGACGCATCGCGCACGCCGCTTCGACACACACGCACACACACGCCGCTTCGACACACACACACGCCGCTTCGACACACGCACACGCCGCTTCGACACACACACACGCCGCTTCGACACACACACACGCCGCTTCGACACACACACGCCGCTTCGACACACACACGCCGCTTCGACACACACACACTTCGATACACACGCTTCGACACACACGCCGCTTCGACACACACACACACACGCACCTTGACACACACACGCACCTTGACACACACACGCGCCTCGCTCTCTCGCACTCCACACTCACTCTCGGCACTCTCTCACACTCGCTCGCTCACTCACTCCTTCTTCCTCGCTGCCTGTCTTCTTGCACCACTCTACGCTGTACAAGTGTTTCCATCCGCCTCTACCGTGTGTGTGTGTGTCTTGTACACGTGTGTGTCTTGTACACGTGCGCGCTACACCGCCTCTTCTGTGTGTGCGCGTGTGCCTCTTGACTAGCACACAGACCAGATACCTGCTCGTCCTCTTTTTTTTGATAGACGACAAGACACGACTCTGACATAAATAACACGCATACGGGACGGACGTGAATGGTGTGTAACACTACCTAACGTGCACGGTACAGACACGTAGATACACACGCACACACGCGCACACACGCGTACCTACACACACAGCACGCACGTCCGAACAAACACACATGACACACACGCACGCACGCGTTCATACGCGGCGCGTGTGTACTGTACACCTGCTCACATATACACATTGACACACGCATGTAGGCACGCACACGCGTACTGACACACCGACGGAAGGCTACACACACACACCACCATACACAGACGCGCACACATCATTGACATTATTACAGTCGTAACACGCGGGCACAGGGAACGGACAAGGGTGGGCAGGGGGGGGGGTTAAGAGGACATCGCTCCGCTGGCTTTTATTTTGTTCTCTCATCATCCTTCCTGCTCCTCTCTTACGTCCGTGTTGCTCTTTATTTGTTTGTTTTGCTTCTTGCTGGCTTGGCTGCGTTTGTTGACTGCGGCGGCGGTGGCGGGGGGGTGGACGGGACGGGTGTCGCTCCGACTCGGTGCGGGGTTGGATTTTTTGGGGGGGCCATTGGGGAGCAGGAGGAGGTGTGGGGGGGTGCCGGCTGCCCCTGTTGTCGCACGCCTTCCTGGAGCCCCTCTGTATGCAGACGGGGAGAGCGGGAGGCAGGGAGTGCTGCTCCTCGTTCGGCCTCCGTGGCTGCTCTTCTTCTTCCTCCGACACTTTCGCCCACGATGCCGCGCCGCAAGCAGCAAGCGCCCCGCCGTGTAGCAGGTACAGCGCTCCTGCCACACCACATCACGGCCTCACCACCCTTCTCTTCACCCCCCCACTATAGTCTCATTCTTCTGTACACACACACACAGCCGTCATCACGAGCCAACCCGCCCAGTGCACTCTGAACGTCCTCCTTCGTCTTTGCCCCCCCCCCCCCATACAACACACACACACAGACACTACATAGCCAGCATTGGTCGCCAGCACCTCCTACCCCCCCTCCCATCTCAATACATAAACACTCCCAAGCGCCACCCCCCCCCAATCAACACAACTTTCTCATCCTCCTCCTCCCCCCTCTTGGTTCCCACTGCTGTTAGCCCCCCTCCTCTCTTCTTCTATTCTTCCTTAACACCCCCCCACCCCCCCACATTGTATCTCTCCCCCCTACCACCCTCCCAACTTGTTCATAGATACGCACACACATTACATAGATACTTACGTTACATAGATACATACATTATATAGATACACACATACATTCGATAGGCATTAATGGTAGCCCCCCTCCAAATTTAATTTATCCCAGGAGGCCCCCCCCCAGCCCCACTAAATCGACACATCCCTGCACCTCCTCCTCGCCTTAGCCCTTCACCTCGATCTTGATTACCCACCTCATCTCTCCCACCCTCCTCCAATGCCTCATGCACACCCACATACATTACATAACCATCATTAACACCCCCCCCCCCCAATCTAAATGTTTCCTTTCAGCCCCCCAGCCTCCCTTTCACCATCTCTCCTCCAATCTGCCCAACTCTGCACCTCGTCGCGTTGTGTTTGCACGTTTCACTGTTGAGTAGTAGCCCAGCACGTGAACGTAGGCACCACGTTCATGTGGTATACTCTGTTGCAGTGTTGCACACCGCGAGTGTGAACACCACGACACTTTATGTGGATAGCACAGTTGGGACGAGTATGCAGGATTGTTGCATGTGTGTGTGTGAACATTGTGTGCGTATAATTACATGCATGTGTAATAGGCGTGCAATATATGCGTGTTTCGTGTGCATATTAATACCGTCTATAGCATTTGTCTATGATAGTACAAATGCACAATTTAGTGTGTGTGTGTGCAGTAGAGTCTCGCATATGGGGATATATATGAGACATAGAATTAATTTATTATTTTCTCAAACAGTTACATAATTTTCTGTTCTCTTCTGCTTTGGGAGTGCAATATTACGGCTATTGTTGTCGTCGTCGTCCTCACGATATAATTACTTTAAACCGCCCTCTCAGGCCGGATGTATTAAAAGCAAGGGCAAAAGAAGATTTTTTTTTATTTAAAAAAATGTCAGGTCGTCTGTCACAGTCGATTACTTTCTGCCTTGTTTGAACGCGCCTTCGTGGTTTCTCTGCTCCTTTTATATTTAGGGGAAAAGTGTAAGCTTTATATTATTCTTATTTGTGGTGGGGAGGTGGGGTGGTTGATGCCAGGGTGAGATGGTGGGGAAGCAAGGCCGGAGTGATGGGGGAGAGAGCCCCGGAGAAGTCTAAAAAATAGGGGGCAGTGTTTTTAAACCGTGTGCAGCTGCCGCTTGGAACGGGCTTTTATAGACAATTGCCATCCTTGATTTGATGCGTGATTGATTGCCTGTCATCTGGCGAGCTTTGATCTATTCATTCCTGATAAACATCAATAAATCACTCGCCATGGCAACGCACATTGCCGTGACGTCACCCCCCAGGCCCTCTATCCCCCGTGCCGCAAAAAACTCACTTTGTGGGTCCGGCCGCCGCTTGCTTCACAGTCTGCCTCTCACATCTCGTGCTCAAACACAAAACTTAATGCCGCCTTAATAGAGGGAAACGGGGACCTGCCCGCTCGGAGAAAATAAGCCCGTCACAACGACTTTGTCTCAATTCTGATTTAATTGTCCGCCGTCTGACAGGCACATTCATCAACAGCTTAATGGTCAATCAAAAGTTGGCAGACTGAGTGTTCTCATTCTTTTCCCATGGACTGATTTGGCATACTTTATCAAAATGCCTCCGTGCTTAATGGGCGTGAGGACTTGACGGCTGACTGATCAGCTATTTTGCAAAGATAAAAATTAACAGATTCCCCCCACCACCTCGCACCCACTCCCCCCCCGACACACACACCTCCTTGTTGCATGCTATAGTTTGCTGAACCATGAACTTAAAGCAGTTATTTATGAAAAGCTGGGCAAACCACTGGATATAATAAAATTGGAGTGACTTTCTGTGGAATGTCAACTTTTTTTTATGCCTTTTGCATTTCTCTCACCCACCCACAGCTGCAATGTGTAACATTTATGACTGAAGCTTTGACTGTTCGGAGTGATGACACATTGATTGCTTGGCAGCAGCAAATGGTGGGGGAAGCTAGAAGAGAGAAAGATAGGCTGTCAACTAACAGACAAAGACCAGGCTTGTCAAAGAAACCTTTTAAAAATCCTAATTAAGCACAATTTGTTTCCTCTTGGTTTATAAACCACTGCATCGTGTTCCGTGCGTGAGTAATTAAATACACTATATGCATGGTATATAATTAAAATAAGAAGGGAGGAAGAGAGAGAGAGAGAGAAATGGTGGGTTATGACTGACAGAATGACCACAGAGTGGTTGTGGAGACTACCTCATTAGAGCTTGCCTAATTAGCCGCTTGTATGATGGATTTGTGATGGGCGCGGGAGCGATGGCGGATAGGTCCAGCGGGCTGTCACACGGCAGAATTAGTTTTGCAGCCAGTTTGATGTAATCAAGTTGATATTATGCAGTCTCGGCGGGCCAGAGTGGCGCATTAACTTGATTTTCCAGTGCAGGTGACAAATGAGCTCGTGTACCTGGGTAATCGTGTCAGAGGGGACAGTATTGGCGCCGTGGCTTTTAAAAAACACAGCAGCGACGAAAACCGCTCAAATAATATTGTCAAAAACAAGAAATGGGTTCAACCATCACCAGTGGTCTGGCTTTGGTGTGTGTGGTTTTTTTTTACACGTCTCAGATTTTCGTGCAAGATGTTTAAAACTTTAAATACCTCGTGCGTGAAACCATTAAAGTGTGGCGGGCTGGGGGGGCTCTCTAAATCGAGGACACTGTGAAGTGCTTGTACTCTGCTGCCCGTCTCGTCCGGGCTGTGTTGTGTCTCTGTGCTCGTCAAAAGAATGTGTGTTTTTGTGAAGGCCTGCGAACACGCCGCGGCAACAGAAACACTCTCGCTGCCGGGCCCCCCCCCCCCGAGTTAAAATCCGTACTATCAGCATCGGCCGGCGATGTTCTGCTGAGTGGGCAGACTCGGGTCAAGACTCGCTGACCGTGCCCCCCCCCACCACCACCACTCATTGTGAGACACATCTCGGTGGCCAGTGCCAGAATGACCAATATTAATATTGTACGTGCTTTTTCGCTGGTTCCCCCTCTCCTCCTCCTCCAGTCCTGTATCAATTGTTCTGCCATGAAAGAGAAAAGAAGGGAAAGCTGTGTAAACATGTTCTAACAAGTGTTGTGCACTGTGGAGGCTTTTCTTTCTTTAACATGCTTTCAGACATTTATTTTTGCCAATGTTTTTATTTTATTTTGGTGACATTTTTTTTAAGTTTCATAATAAGACTGCGGCTGTCCTGTGTGCAACATGGGCTGGATGAAGAAAAAAACATGATTAACATTTATGTGAGCAAACTAAAAATGGTAGGGGGCCACTTATTTTAATAAAAGCATTGGAATTACTGATTTAAAACTGTTTAGACAATGAGGGGAGTTTGGTTACACAAATGCACATGCATGTCAGTCTCCTCAGCAAACATACTTTATTTATATATTTCGGCATTAATAACATGTTTGTAATAAGTAACATGCCGAAAGGAACCTTGTGGCTATTAAGCAAGGACATTTTAACATATGGCAATTTATTTCATCAATCATTTAATTAGTGATGTATGACATTTTAAAACTATTTTATCGAACGGGCAAATTTTATATTTATATATTATAGATATTTACTTAGACCTCAAACAATTATACTGCCATGCATTTATAATGATTGCCAGCTCAAAGTAAAGTATAATTGTGTAGACCAAGTGGATGGCAATTGTCAAAGCCCCATAACTTTCTAGTGAACAATGTACAATTAAAAATAGGGGATTTTGTTGTCTAAGTAGTATATAAGTTGAAGGTACATTCAAAGGCCCTTCTGAAGTGTTCCTGGCCATTGGCCCAAAACAGTGGGTGCTAAATAGTCGTCTTTTGCCATCAACAATGACGTTTTTTGGTCCGCAAAAAAACAAAATTTATCCAAATAAACTATCCCCAACGTTTCTTTCGTGGCTAGTCACACGGTCAAACAATCCCCATGACTGACACGGTACGACGAGGCCTTCCATCTCGCAGGGCTCTAAACTACTGTTTGTTATTGGGAATCTTGTGTTCCCGTAGCATTCAACTCCTAAATGTTTTGAGGCGGGCCCATAAGCCTGTGTATGCATAAGTGCATCGCCAAATTGTGTTCACGCTGCAGGCAGATCTCTCATTGTGAACCTTTACACTGGAGCACACTGTCAGACAAAGTTAGAAGGGGGAAAAAAGAAACAAGAGTCGTTGATGTGGCAACAGATCTCGTCTCAAACCATTTTATTAAACTCTGCTGACTCCACTCCTGATCCCCTTTCCACAGTTAAACTTGGTCACGGAGATGGCTCGCCCAGGCAGATGTCTGACAACATGATTAGTTATGGCCTCTCTCAGCTTCTGTACCAGCCGCCACTTTTTTGGCTGTACACAAGGAAAAAAAAGAAAAAGTTCAGCATTTTGGCCGTTTTCTTGCGATACATCAAACGCCGCGCATTTTCTAAAGGGGGCCCTCTCGCTTAGCAGCTGCGCATTGCTTACGTAAGCCTGACAGATGTCAATTAAGAGCAAAGGCTGGTTTTTATCTGGCGCTGCAGATGTCAGGGAGCCAATGAAATAACACTTTACCCTTGTCATTCCACGCAGGCTTTGTCCCCCAAAGCAGTAATACGTGCAGGCGCAAG